TATTATTATTATTATTATTATTATTATTATTATTTCCAAGGAGCTCAATATGCTATATGTGATCCTACTTTTCCCCCCAGGTACATGGGTTTACAGATCTCATCATTCCCAAGATATTAGTTAGGAATTATCACATCAGAAGAACATCAACTCAAGTTAGAAAAGGTTAGATTAGATTGTGTAGCCAAGTCAATTCTAACTTTCATGGTTTAATGGAGATTCGAATCCAGAACTTTCTTACTTTGGGTCAGTGTACTGGCTGGGTTCTCCTATCAGATGACAAAGCCACAAAGGGGCTTGCCTAGTTCTAGTTCTATGCAATCTGTGATTCCCAATCATGGCTTATGGTCTAATGTGATGGGGAGTAGATCATTACAGCTAGTTTTAAAAAAAGCATGATTAAAACAAATAGTGACTCAGTGCCAGGTATGAATCCATTGCAAACACACAGGTTTTGGTAGATCAGTGGATCCGACAGAAGCGTGTTCCTATGTTGCTGAGAAGTTCTGCCTGTTATCTTCCTGATCATGCCAGGAAGAACAAGATTTCATCTTTCTGATTCTGTACTATATGAAGGTGAGCAAGCTCTACCTCCAACAGCCAGAACATCTCAGCTGGGTTCGCACCACACACAAAGCCACAAACTCCACCATCCCACGTTAGCCTAACGGAGAGCATGGTACAAATCCTGCTCTGAAACGGCCAGCTGAAGGTCACCACCTGATCTTTTTCTGCTTTTCACGGTGGAAGCTGCCTTGGGCCTCCTGGCATTGTCCTCTTACCAACTTTGAAAGACCCAAGAAGGGCTCTTCTTGCCTGCTCTTTTCTGGCTGGCCCAAAGAGATGGAGAAGGCCACGGATGACAGCTGTCACTTGTGGAGGAGTGAAGAGATGGGGCAGGTTTTGAAAATGAGTCCAGAGCTCCCACTAGGATTGGAGGCAGAAATAACTACTAACGCTGAGTTTCAAGAACCCAAACTGGGCAGCTCAACCCCTTGGCCATTCCAGGGGGCTGGATTAATTGCTTCTGATCACCTCTGCCTCTCCCCCTCCCTCCCCCCTCAACCCCACCGGTTTTCATTGGGTGTCCACCCACAGCCGCTGTGAAAAGTTTGAGAGAATGGCTAGCCAGTGGCTTGCAACTTCATTC